TCCTCAGTCACTGAAGCAAGCCAGCCTCATGTTCAGTTTAAGCTTTCTGGCTGCCAGCCGCCATCTTGGCTGATAGTTAATTTGCATATCGCCCCTGATTAGCCAATGGGAAGGGTAGCGGTCATACCCCAATTACCATGTTTCTCTTTTATTAGATAAGGATGATAATTTCATTTTTTAAAGTTTCATTGTTTAGCCCTGACTGGAGGGCTTATTTGGTTGGAGCATCTTCCAGAGGTCGGGGCACATGCCTATGTGATGTGTTTGATCCTGAGTTGGGATGTGTATAGAATCAATTTCTCTCTCTCTCTCTCTCTCTCTCTCTCTCTCTCTCTCTCTCCCTCCCCCCCACCCTCCCTCCCTGTATCTCTCTAAAATACAAAACAAACAACATGTTCCCTCCCTGTATATCTCTAAAATCAAAATCAATCAACATGTTCTTGATCCTTGGGTGAGAATTAAACATTTTTCATTGTTTATACTCTAGTTCAGGCCCTTATTACTTAATTTGTCTCCCTACCTCATCTTTTTCTACTTCACTCTACGTAATGCTGTTAGATATAATATTTTTCTAAGACAAGCTCTTTAAAAAGCATTAATGGCTCCTTATTGTCCAACAAATCACAAAGTACATAATCTGGCATTCAGTGGCTTCCTTAAATATAGTGTCATCTAATACTCCCCTAACATGCCCAGCACTCCAGCCAAACTGAGTGGCTTAGAGTTTAAATTAACTTTTTCCCACCACAAACAGAATTTGCTCGTTCTACTGCCTCAGCCTGGAGCCTGGAATATCCTATATAATAAAAGCCCAGTGACCATAACGGCAAAACGACCAGAACGGCCCTTCAATCAGTCACTAGGAAGTGCACTGACCACCTCTTGGTCCCTTTCCCTGGCCAACAGGCTCCCATCACCTGGGGACCCAGGGTTGGGTGGTGGGGGATGCAGGCAGTGCCAGGCCAAGGCCCCCGCCCTGCCACTTGCCCCACACACAGAGGTCAACCTGCGGCAGGGGTGGGGCCAGCAAGTAGGGAGGAACAGGGGACCTCTCTGGT